TCTCCGAACCCGGAAAGGAAACAGTCATTTTACTGGGATTGAAGCCAGAAGGCACCATCATATTTTGTTCTGTGGCACGAGCTGGCATTTCCTTAGTAATCCTCTTTAATGTGCTAGTGTGTGAACCATAAACCTGCTATCATCAAGTCAATTTGGACTCATGCCGACCCTACAGGACAGAGTAGAACTGCCTCATTCCGTTTCTCAGATGGTACATATTGACAGGAGCCTTGTTCTCAGATCAGCGGGTGGTTTGAACCACTGACTCTGAGGTTAGCAGCCCACGCCCAACAAGCCACAATACCACCTTTGTGAACTAGACTTCCAAAAATATCTTTAATGCCTCCATCCAAAAGGAAACAACGAATTGACTAGAATGAGACATGATTCAACCATAAATCAAGCTCATAGGCAATGTTTCTGTTTATGGCATGAAAGCACAAACTTTTCTAAAGACTCCTGGGAGAAAAATTAGGCTGTCTGTCGCTATAAAGATTTACAGGCCTGAGGACCCTATAGGGGTGCTGAGTCAGAATCAACTCCATGACAGTGAGATTTCTGTTTTGTTGTTATTCTTAACTCAGCGCTGTTAAAAAGCAAACTTAAATTCGGTCCACACATATATATGGATTTGTGGTAATGTTGTCCACAAGTGGAAAAAAAACAGAAAGAAACCAGATGAGACTTGGCCCAGGTACTGGATGGCTCAATAATGATAGGTTAGACACTTGCCAACCAAAGGGCTCTTGATAAGGTAGCCTCCCAATCGCTCTGATTTTAGACAGGCCCAAAGACCTGGTTCAAAATAAAACCAGTCATCCTGAGGTTGATTCTGACTCCTGGCAATCCCATGGGTTTCAGAGTAGAACTGTGCTCACGAGGGTTTTCCAAAGTAATTCACCAAGTCTATTTCTCAGACACCTCAAGGTGAATTCAAACTCCCAACACTGTGATTGGCAGCCAGGTACATTAACCGTCTGTACCATGCAGAGACCACAAGAACAGGTCCCCTGGGGCTCTTTTGGCTCTAGACCCCAATGTAGGTTTGACACTCTGGTTTGGCTCGCTCCTTCCCATAATGCACCTTGAAAAGGCAACTAGCACTTTGCCTCTGCAGTGTCTTCTGAAAAAGTGGGAGCAGGGGAGATTTAAAATAGAAGGAAAGGCTGAAGAACGTTTTTTTAATGTCATCCATATTCTTCCCCAAACAATTTAGGGACCTAGGTTTCCAAAAATCAAGGTAAACATAGCTTTCTGTATACTCTCAAATAACATGACGATGGTCTTTCACCTACGATGACCTTTTCCCTTACATAAATCTGGCCCACATTGAACACTCCTCGGAAGGAGCAAAAAGTAAAGGCAACAAATGTGAACATGAACCTGAAAGTAATTAGTGAATGCATTAAATTGGGAGAGGGGGGATAAAAAAGTTGAATAAATGTAAATAATTTTGAAAGGCACATGTTTAGGAGGTATTTGTACCGCCATGACACTGCCTGGAAATGTGATTATAATATGATTTCAAAGTCAAATGAAGAGCACAAAGGAGTGACTGCAACATGCACGTTACCAGGACCCAGCAAGAAAGCAGAGGCCCGTGATGGGCACCCTGCTGGGGATACTTACAGAGATCACCGTGGGGCTTCCGTGCTGCGCATCCGCCTCACTGGGTGACTGAAACTGCAAGGGGAGGTAGCTTTTATGCGGCTCACTGGTGAACACCACCTGGACAGGGCACAAGGTCCATATGTATGTTAGCGTCCCCTTTCGCCAGAAGGTTCCTTCAAAGAAAGCTCGAGGACATCAGAGCCAGTAGGTGTTTAACTTCTTTTTCTGAACCTGTTGTGCATCTTTCCTGACCTGGAACCTCACCTTTTGATGTAGGTTTAAGACAATAAGTCTTTGACCCTGCTTTTCGGGAACAGTCCCAGTCTCAAATAATTATCATCTTGTTGGGTAATAAAATAAATTCCATAAACGACGTATCGAGTGTGATTTTCATTTAAATCTCCATAAACGGTTTATAGCAAGAGTCACAAAGCCATGACGTCACTGAAATGAAATATTCCAGTATGGAGAAACCAAAGATTCTTAGTGGTTCCGAGGGGAGAAGGGAGCTGTTCTCTGGGGGGGTGGCATGTCTGTTATCCAGGCTGCTATAATGGAAATATCACACGTGGGTGGTTGTCCAAAACAGACAGATATTTTCTCACTCTTTAGGAGGCTCGGTGGGAAGCCAAGCTCAAGGTTAGGCTTCCTCCTTGTGGCCTCTAGAGGAGGATCACTGTCACTCCTGAGCATTTCCTCCTGGGAGATCTCCGCCTAGCATGCCATCTCTCTTCCCCCATCCGTTGCTTGTTTAATCTTTTACCTCTCAAGAGAGATGAATCAAAACTTACCAAATCCTATCTCGTTAACATGCCCCACTCCCAAATAGGGTTATAACCTCAGGTGGAGAGGTTAGACTTCCCAGCACATATTACAGGGAAATTTCATTCAATCCATAGCAGGGAGTTCATGTTCACGGGGGAATCATTTGGGGAAAAGTAGAGATAATGATTGTACCACAGGAAGAGTAGAATCAACAGCACTGAATTATGCAGGTAGCATTTGTTGAAGTGGCAGGTGTTTTGTGCCTATTTTTTAACCAAACTTTTAAAAATTAAAAAAAATAGATGATAAAAGACATTTAACAATAGAGACAAACAAAAAAGCACAACAGTCTTAAAAGGCTCAAGCCAATTGTCTTGAATTAGGGAGCCAAGCATTGCAGGCCTGAAGGAAGAAATGTAAATAAGGCTACCCTAAGAAAACATACAGACAAACAAAAACAGTGGCCTTCGTACATGACCAGATCCGAACACTTCCACAAAGGCCTCCATGGATGGAGCAGCCCCTGATCTCATTTTCTCTCGTCTGTTCCTCTGCTTTCCATGATGCTGTTCCCTTATCGAGAATGCCCTTCTCTTTGACCTTCTACGTCATTCAACCGCCACAGTCACCAAGGCCCACTCCCTTACCTCCTCACTTTAGTCTTCTCTCCCCGAAGAGCACCTTTGGGCTCCTACAATTCAGCTCTTAAAAGTACTCAAGAGCTTCAAAAGGTTTGTGAAAGAAGTTTGTGATCTTTTTTTTTTTTTAAGTCCATTGTCCTTTAATTCCATTTTTCCTCGAACTCTGTGAAGCCAGTCCTCTTGGTAAATGAGTAGTTCTTACAGGTCAATATTAACAAATTCGTTTGCAGGAGTAAATAAGAATCATGATACTAAGCACTCACAAGCCAAACCGACATTATGTAAAGTCTCAGGTTTGGGGCCAGACATTCATGTGACTTTCAGTACTTACTCCTAACATACATGTGCTTGCTCCTAGTTTTAAAAAAGAAAGAAAAATCCTCTAAAATTCCCATATAAAAATCATGCTCCCAGATACTCCCAATGCTCAGCAATTGCTCAAAACAAGTACTCAATGAAGTACTGAAACATGATTTATGATTAGTGTTTCAGACAAAAAGAATGCTAAGTGTTATGTTACAGGCATTTAACAACATGGGCCCACAGTATTTCCAGTGGCGATTACATTTGGTTTATATACTAAAATTGTACTATAAATTATAACATTAGTATAAAAAACATCACGTCTCATGAGTTGTATGAGCCCCTAATAAAATGATTATTAAAAAAACAACAAAAAACCATCACGTCTCTTGGGCAATGGACTGCTTTCTTGACAAAGCCCATCAAAGAATTAGGCTGGAAAAGTGACTTTGCTGTGAAGTTGATCCTCGCTCCCCATGTTAAAAGTCCAAACATTACACGGGACAAGTAACACCGCAGAGGACCTTCTGCACATGCACATTTTGTGCTTTGGGGTTTTTATAACGGGGCATAGAAACAGTTCAAAAATTACTCACCACCAATATGCACTGCAATAGTGAAGCTGACATTCTAAGAAATGTTTACCATCCACCCTACAGGAAAACATTAAGTCCATCTTTCTCTCCCTGCTCTTTCTGCTATGAGCGAGCACTAAGGAATGAAACTTTATGCAGTGCAAAAAGAAGTTCTGTCTTCTCAAACCACTTAGATTAAGAAATAAAGAAAGAGTTTGGAATTCCTCCCCCCTCCCCCTTATCAATAGGAAATGTACTTAAAAAACAACAATAACAAAAAAAAGAGGGCTGCTGGTACTTGTGTTAGGCTATAACTGCAAGGTTCTCTGTTCAAACTCCCCTGTCCCTCTGTGGGAGAAAGATGAGGCTGTCTGTTCCTGGAAAGATTTAGTCTCAGAAACCCTATGGGGTCACTAGGAGTTGAAATCAACTCAAAGGAAGTGGGTTTGGTTGGGGCTTTAGAGCAATCCTAGTTTTTTCCCTTAGGAATTGGCCTAACTCCGTTTGGCTGATGTGTTTCAGATTTTAGACTCTGGGGAGGGGGCGGGGAGGGGTGAGAGTGGGGAACACAGGGCCCTAATAACAGGAATGACAAGTGGGGGAAGCATTTTCCCTTCTAGCCCACGTTAATTTCTACTTTTACTTACAGATAAATCGAATAGCACACGCTTCCGTTGTTTTTTTGTTGTTGTTGTTTTTTTGGGGGGGTTATCATCCCTGATTCATAAACCAGGAAGTGACATCATGATGCAATCATGCCTAAGTGCAAATCCAGAAGAATCCACATCTCTACTGTGACACCAACTGCGGGTGTCTCATGAGAACAGTGGGGGGCAGGGCAGCAAGCCTTTTTTCTACTAAGACACTATGGAGCAGCCTCAAGCTCCCAATCTTTGAGTCTGCAGCCAAGCACATCAACCGTTTGGACCACCCACAAGTTCCAGTAGTTCTTAAACAGCCGGGCTCTTATGTGTCGCGTTTCAGAAAGAGCTGATATTCAGAAGAAAACACCCAACATGACCCATAAGGCACCAGAGATGTTTCCAAAAGCAGCATTCTCTGGTCAAGAAACCTTTGACTTTTCTCTCAGTGCACAACTCCCTTCTGCTTTACCTGGCTGGTGCCACAACCCGGACAGGGTCCAGAGAGCATGGCTGGCATCTGCTTGGTGGCTGATGGCTTTCGGTAATAGCGTGGATATGCTTTGGCCATGCAGTTACTGATGTCTTTTGAATCCGTTGTCGCCTGGATCTTGACCCTTTCACATCCCTGAGATGAGCAGTAACTGTGACCATCCCTGCTGCTTTGGGCCTTGAGATATAAGAAGAGCAATCTGCACAAATCAGAAACCAACCCAGTTGGTATTAGGCATTGTCTCAAGCACATAGACACTTCCTCAAACAAAATGTACTGGTCAAAAAATGCTTCCTCTCACACAGTAATCTTCCCTTCAAATAAAAAGAAACTTACAGAACTTCTATTAAGTTGGGTACCTCCCCTTTCTTCACTGTTAGCATCCTAAGACAAATGCAATATACTTGGAAACCCTGATTCAGCCATTCTGGAAGATATCAAAGTTGGTTTCTGGTTTGAATTAGTTCAAAAGGTAATTGGGGAGGGTGGAATTTGGCTTGGCTCAGAAATCCCTAGGCAAACTTGATACGATTGCTGAGTTCAGAATTTGGGAAATTAGTGTGGCTTATTCTATTTTGGGAGGGTCCATAAATCATTTCGGTTTAAGGCACAAAGCTGGAATCGTAAAAAAAGCAATTCTGACTTGTTTGGCTACGGCCAAGATATGGCCTCAAGTCAGTTCCTGTGATGTTTACTGAGAGCAGATGGAACTGGGGTCCTTCCATTTGTCATGGGGCCAAAAGCCGGCCAAAATGAACAGTCCCACCCACCAGGGATTATCCTCCTCCTGCCAAGATCAAAGAAAAAGTCTAAGGTTCAGGCAGCAGTCCAACTCCTGTCAGTGAACCTAATCCTTCTAAACCAGAAGGAAGGCAGGATTCTAAAGACAAGATCAAATGGGATTGATTACCGGAGGTCAATACATGCAGCACCGTTGCAAATTATCCCAACATCCAGTCATTTTAACATACACACTTAAGGAATGACAAAGATCACACTAAGTCAAGTGTGTAATAGCTGATATACCATTAAAAGAATTCAAACAAATAGGATTAAAAAGTATTAAACACAGACGAGGACATACATCCCAACCTTTTATTATTCAGTTAATCATTCATTTAATTACAAGGCATCCAACTGTCCCTACAAAATTTGGGTGTTCCGGACTGTAGACCTTCTATAGCATACAGAATAAAGTCTACATAGATTGTTTAAATCTTATCAGAAATTGGAAACCAGACAAATTTAGGAGCGAATCGCATCATGTTATTCAAAGGCTAACTTGTCACTTAATGACAGAAGCCCAACATCATCCCCTCTAATCAATCCTGCACCCATTCCACTCTGCACTTTCCCCCACCCCAAACACGCAATGCCACAGTCTGCCAAGCCTCCAAGCATTTGTACACTCTGTTCCCGCTGCCTGGAACAGCTCCGCCTCACCCACCGGCTCTCCCACCTCCTCCGACTGACTCTAGTGTCGCACTCTTGGGCTGACACTGGCTCCACGGGCTACCCTAAGAAAACCACACTGAATGTCCCTCTATGGGGCCTAAAGACTATTTAAACCGTCTGTCTTCTAGTTATTGGCCTATGCCCTTTAGTGGACTAAATCCGCCATATTGAAAAAAAATATGTCTTCACGTTATCCTTCCTGTATGTACCTAGACAATGACCATCAGAAGCATGTCAGCTAAAAAGATGGTTCTCCCAGGAGCATGCTACTTGCTGGAAGAGGACAGGAGATGAAGCCTACCATAACCCAAAGGCTGGGAGACTACCGGGAGACAAAAAGTAGACAAAGCCAACAGCACCACGGGAGAACAGGATGAGAATTAAAAAGCAGAAAGACACAGCCTGGAGAAAATTGGAAGCAACTATGCCAAGGTTACACAGCGATTTGGAATAAGTCCAGGTCAACGGGAGAGAGCCTGCAAAGTCAGTAGGAAGAATGGGCTTTTTTTTTACTCAACTAGTAACGATGCCATATAAAAATAATCATCTGAAACTTGCTCTGGATAAAAAATCATTTTAATTTCCAATTTGGCCTACTGGTTCTTTACCGACAAGGATAATTTCGTTCTCTCAATTGCCTTAATAAGTATACGGCAAACATTTGCACTCGATTCCCACTGACAACTGTAATTACACATCAGTCCTCTTCTCCTCTAAGCCTTTAATAGCGATGTGCACCGAATTACCCCTCCGGCAGCTGCTCGTCTAAGCAGCCCTCGCATGACAACGTATGCTTAGCTACTCTGAAGAACTAGTAATTTCGCCATTCACGAAACATAGCAATAATCCTCCATTCTGGCTCCCACCGAATTACCCAGTGCTGGAGTCAAAATAGAATTTCCTCTCGGATTGCTTCCTCTGCAGTTCTTCCAGTGAACGGACGGGCTCATAGTCCTCCATCTTGGACAATGAGCCATTGTGTCGCTGCAAAAAGCCAAAGGTAACTTGAAAACTTGTGTTGGATGGATAGCAGAGGCCAACTCGAATCCAGTCATCCCTATAAAGGAGAGATCATAAAGGGTTAACACACTGGAGCCGGTATCTTTTTTTTTTAATGATGGTAATAACTTCTCTAACAAAACATTGATAATTATTTTTCAGGGCACAATTCAACGGCATGAGTTACATTCATCCTGTTGTGGGGGTACCACCAATATCCATTTTCAAATGTTTTTCATCATTTTAAAGAGAATTTGGTACGGCTTTAACAATAACTCCAGATTTGCCTCCTCTCTCAGCCTCATAACCATTAGTACCCTGTTTCCCCGAAAATAAGACAGTGTCTTATATTAATTTTTGCTCTCAAAGATGCGCTAGGTCTTATTTCTCCATGAAGAAGAATACGGTACCCATTTATTGTTTATTGTTTTATTAAAAGAGACCTCGCACTTCCTGTCTGCTCCAGCTGCGCTGCGGCTAACATGGAGCTGGTAGCGGTGCTCGCTACTGCGGTCCAGAGTCCAGAGTTACGGTAGCTTCGGGGGGGTCTTATTTTCTGGGAGGTCTTATTTTCGGAGGGAAGCATTCTATTTCAGTGAGAGGCAAAACTCTAAGTAGGTCTTATTTTCGGCAGATGTCTTACTTTCGGGGAAACAGGGTAAGGCTTTTGTCTCGAGATATTTCAAATACGTGGAATCACACCACTGTGCCCTTTGGGGTCTGGCTTGTTGCCCTTAAAACAAGTGCTCAAGGTTCATCCATGTCACTTGGACCAGCACTTTCTCCTTTGGGTTGAATATTCCTCCATTATATTTGGGCTGAAACTTAGGAACCGTTGTGAGGAGGACCCTCACTGGGCAGCTTCGTTCTGGTGGGCACAGGGCTGTCAGGGGTTGGGACAGACTCAATGGCATAGAAAACAGCAACCTATTCCTAAACGTCTGCCCATCCCGTTACAGAATCCCTTTTGCTACTGTGATTAATGCTGCAAGGAACCCTAGTACAGACATATCTATTTGAGTTCCTACTTTCAGTTTTCCTGGGTATTTAGAAGTGGAAACTCGGGTTAACTTTTAAGGAGCTGCCTGCTTTCCGCAAAGGCTGTGAACCCATCTCTTTTGCGTATTCCAGCGCAGACACATTTTAGCCCTAAAGGTCTCGTTCGACTCCTGCCGTGTGCTGGTATTCCTGCCACCTGACACACTAAGGAACATTCTACCTTTCTCTATTAAAAATATTTTTCTTGCTGGCATTTTGATAACAAAAAAATTCCTGGCATCTGTAGAACTCGTGGACACACGAAAAGACGTTAGATAGCATGTAATGCAGATACTGCAGCTGGATCAGAAAATTAAGTGAGATGGTTGAGCAAGAGTGCATGAAAATGGAGACACTGGTGGTGGAAAGGTAACTGGTAAGATTCCAAAGAATTTGGACACCACAGGCTACACATCTTCATATTGTTCACAGATTTTACTCTTAACCAAGTTAACCCACTCACGAATAATTCAAAATGTAGATAAAAGAGGTATAAAAAAAAGATGTTTTACACAATATCATCTATAGCAGCAAGAAAAGGGCCAGTGGGGGAAGAATGTAAATGTTCCCTAGGGGGGGAGGTTAATGAAATGCATCAGGTACATCCATATTCGGAGTGAGAATACTTCAGGGTGGGGAACGCCCCAAAATGCCTCACTATGAACGGTATGATTGAGGTTTACTTCCATGTTCTCTTTATGATTTCCTATATTTTGTATAAGGAATCAGTACAGCTTTTTTTTTTTTTTTAACATTTTATTAGGGGCTCATACAACTGTTATC